TGTGTGTGTGTGAGAGAGAGAGTGAGTGAGTGTGTGTGAGAGAGAGAGAGAGTGAGTGTGTGTGTGTGTGTGTGTGTGTGGATATTTACCTCATCGAATCGGTCAAACACGGCTCCTTCCTGCAGGAAATGAGGAATGTGTTTTTGCCAGTTGAACTCGTATGATTTGGTCATGATGCTCACAGACCTAAAACACACACATGTCAGAAATAACACGCATTAACATCCAGAAAACAATATGAACAAACACATCTTTGTCTTTACAGATATTCAGACTTTTCGAAAGAATAAATTAATGAATTCAATAGTGAATGAACACACGTAGCATTTGAACCATCAGGAAAAACGTGAAAACATGACATTAAAACAAATTCACATCAGTGTTTTAACTGAAATAATGAAACTGTTGTTTCTCTTGCAGCTCACGAGAATATTCATGCCCTCAATAATTTGTAGAACATGCTAAAACAGCTCCAACATGCTGACAGAAGCGCCAGAGCGACGATTCCCCAAACCGGACACTGAGCGTTATAAATAAACCTAAGATATGTCACCGAGCTGATAAATATTCAATCAGCTCATTAATATTCATGAGGTGTGCTATATATTCATGCTAATTAAACAGACAGAGTTACGGCTCCTCTACATTCAGGGCCTGATGGGATGTTCAGAAATCATGATCATGACGTGCGTCTAAACGTGATTATGGTCTGATTTCAGCAGAGGATGATTATAAACGGGTTAAATGAGTCTGTTTACCGGTTAGATTCACCTCATCAACCCAAACTAAACCGAAAAGTTAAACTAATGACATGCTCATCTCACAGATGCTCCTCACGTCAAATAAAGCGGATAGTTTAACATCCCATGACCACTAGTCAGGAACCCTAACTATTCTGGTTAAATTTGACTCTGCATCGATCAGAAGTCCGAACACGTGAGTTAGCGGAGATAATTATCCGGCCCTGTAAGGCAGCGCAATCCCCTGCTACCGCCGGTTTAAAACGGCAGCGAGGGTAATTACCCAGAGGCCCCTGCTTCATAAGCGTGCTCGAATTAACGATGCAGAGCACACACACGCTTCAGAAGAAACAGCAGGAGCAGCGGAAAACCTGGAGGAAGACGACGACAGCTGTCAATCAAACACAGCAGAGCTCATCAGAGTGTGTGTGTAGTAAATGTGTGTGTAAACGTTTGTCAGCACCTGACTAGTGCAAACAAATCCACCCTGCTAATGTTTGTCAGCGAAGTTAAACATTCAGACTAATACAGCAGTAACCAACACACACACACACTATAACACACTCACTCACATGCACGCACACACACTCACACACTATAACACACGCACGCGCACATACATGTCGCCTCTGGCTTGCTTAGTTGGGGACACTTCATTTCCAGCGTTATCGTTGACATGATTGCAAAGATATTATTTAAACTGAGCTGGATGTTGACATCACTGAATTCAATGATGAACTGTCTTTAACTGAAAAATGAGTGTTTACTATTGTCATTTTGCATTATTGACACTATTTTCCTAGAGAGAGAGTGAGTGTGTGTGTGTGTGTGTGTGTGTGTGTGTGTGTGTGTATGATGTATGTGTGTGTGTGTCTGTATGATGTATGTGTGTGAGAGAGAGTGTGAGTGTGTGTGTGTGTGTGTGTGAGTGTGTGTGTGTGTGAGAGAGAGAGAGTGAGTGAGTGTGTGTGAGAGAGAGAGAGAGTGAGTGTGTGTGTGTGTGTGTGTGTGTGGATATTTACCTCATCGAATCGGTCAAACACGGCTCCTTCCTGCAGGAAATGAGGAATGTGTTTTTGCCAGTTGAACTCGTATGATTTGGTCATGATGCTCACAGACCTAAAACACACACATGTCAGAAATAACACGCATTAACATCCAGAAAACAATATGAACAAACACATCTTTGTCTTTACAGATATTCAGACTTTTCGAAAGAATAAATTAATGAATTCAATAGTGAATGAACACACGTAGCATTTGAACCATCAGGAAAAACGTGAAAACATGACATTAAAACAAATTCACATCAGTGTTTTAACTGAAATAATGAAACTGTTGTTTCTCTTGCAGCTCACGAGAATATTCATGCCCTCAATAATTTGTAGAACATGCTAAAACAGCTCCAACATGCTGACAGAAGCGCCAGAGCGACGATTCCCCAAACCGGACACTGAGCGTTATAAATAAACCTAAGATATGTCACCGAGCTGATAAATATTCAATCAGCTCATTAATATTCATGAGGTGTGCTATATATTCATGCTAATTAAACAGACAGAGTTACGGCTCCTCTACATTCAGGGCCTGATGGGATGTTCAGAAATCATGATCATGACGTGCGTCTAAACGTGATTATGGTCTGATTTCAGCAGAGGATGATTATAAACGGGTTAAATGAGTCTGTTTACCGGTTAGATTCACCTCATCAACCCAAACTAAACCGAAAAGTTAAACTAATGACATGCTCATCTCACAGATGCTCCTCACGTCAAATAAAGCGGATAGTTTAACATCCCATGACCACTAGTCAGGAACCCTAACTATTCTGGTTAAATTTGACTCTGCATCGATCAGAAGTCCGAACACGTGAGTTAGCGGAGATAATTATCCGGCCCTGTAAGGCAGCGCAATCCCCTGCTACCGCCGGTTTAAAACGGCAGCGAGGGTAATTACCCAGAGGCCCCTGCTTCATAAGCGTTAACGATGCAACGATGCAGAGCACACACACGCTTCAGAAGAAACAGCAGGAGCAGCGGAAAACCTGGAGGAAGACGACGCAATCAAACAATCAAACACAGCAGAGCTCATCAGAGTGTGTGTGTAGTAAATGTGTGTGTAAACGTTTGTCAGCACCTGACTAGTGCAAACAAATCCACCCTGCTAATGTTTGTCAGCGAAGTTAAACATTCAGACTAATACAGCAGTAACCAACACACACACACACTATAACACACTCACTCACACGCACGCACACACACACTATAACACACTCGCACGCACACACACTCACACACTATAACACACTCACACGCACGTGCACACACACACACACTATAACACACTCACTCACACGCACGCACACACACACTATAACACACTCGCACGCACACACACTCACACACTATAACACACTCACACGCACGCGCACACACACACACTATAACACACTCACACGCACGTGCACACACACACACACTATAACACACTCACTCACACGCACGCACACACACACTATAACACACTCGCACGCACACACACTCACACACTATAACACACTCACACGCACGTGCACACACACACACACACACACACACACACACTATAACACACTCACTCACATGCACGCACACACACTCACACACTATAACACACGCACGCGCACATACATGTCGCCTCTGGACACACACTTTGGGGACACTTCATTTCCAGCGTTATCGTTGACATGATTGCAAAGATATTATTTAAACTGAGCTGGATGTTGACATCACTGAATTCAATGATGAACTGTCTTTAACTGAAAAATGAGTGTTTACTATTGTCATTTTGCATTATTGACACTATTTTCCTAATTAATACTGTTCAGTTGCTTTGTCACAATCTGTATTGTTAAAAGCGCTATATAAATAAAGGTGACTTGACTTGACTTGGCATACACGCATGCACACACACAGACGCACACACACACACACACATCCACACACACAAACTTCTGTTTCTTTCCAAACTACGGAAAAGGTTGTATTTGGACAATTGAATTCATTTCTAGATCTACATGGTATTCACGAAGTGTTTCAGTCTGGTTTTAAATTTTGACATAGTACAGAAACTGCACTGTTGAAGGTTTTTAATGACTTGTTACTTGCTACTGATTCAGGGAACGATTTTAATTCTACTAGACCTTTGGGCTGTATTTGATACTGTAGACCATAAGATCTTGATTACACGCTTAGAACAATGTGTTGGTATTAAGGGTACTGCGTTGGGATGGTTTAGATCCTACTTGTCCGAAAGAACTTTCTCAGTTTGTCTTTCACGTGTGGGGTCCCCCAGGGCTCCATTTTGGGGCCTATTCTGTTCTCCCTGTATATGCTCCCCTCAGGACATATTTTTAGGAAATTTGGTATTTCTTTTGATTGTTATGCAGACGATACGCAAATGTATCTGCCTTTGAAATGAAAAGATACTTGCTCTTTAGCACCCCTATTGCAGTGTCTTGAGGAAATTAAGGATGGATGGCACTAAATTTCCTTAATTTTAATGAAAATAACACGAGTTATACTGTTTACGCCGGGAGGTACTTGTGAGTCATCAGATTTGGACCTTAGTGAATTGAAACCACTTGTGAAGCCCTATGTAAAAAATTTAGGCGTTATCATGATTGTGATTTTAAATTGGACAAACAGATTAACTCGGTAGTTAAATCTAGTTTTCTCCAATTGAGACAGCTCACCAAAGTGAAATCTTTCCTGTCTTCTAAAGACTTTCAAAGAATCGTTCATATTTTTATTTCAGCTCGTCTGGATTATTGTAATGGCCTCTCTATATGTATTAGTCAGGCCTCTCTCTCCAGACGGCAGATGCTCCAGAATCAGCTCGACTGCTGACGAGTACACGAAAGCGGGAACACATCACCCTCGTTCTCGCCTCTCTTCACTGGTTACCTGTCTTTTCATTTTAAGATTTTGCTATTTGTTTTTAAATCTCTTATTGGTTTAGCACCTAAATATCTTTCCAACTTGATCAAGCTGTATGCTCCACTAAAAGCACTTAGGTCTGCTGACCATTTGCTTTTAGTTGTCCCACGGGTAAAGTTGAAGAGCAGGGGTGACCGAGCATTTAGCTCAGGAAAAGTTTGCCCCTCTACATTAGACAGGCTCAAACACTTGCTGTTTTAAAATCTAGCCTAAAAACTTATTTTTATAGTCTGGCTTTTGACGCTATGTGAGAGCTGCTTTCTTTTACTGTCTTTATGGTGTTTTATTGTCTTCTTTTGTGCTGTTGACTGTTTGTATCATTGATATTTTTATTCTTTAATGCAATTTAGCTCAGGAATAGTTTGCCCCTCTACATTAGACAGGCTCAAACACTTGCTGTTTTAAAATCTAGCCTAAAAACTTATTTTTATAGTCTGGCTTTTGACGCTATGAGCTGCTTTCTTTTACTGTCTTTATGGTGTTTTATTGTCTTCTTTTGTGCTGTTGACTGTTTGTATCATTGATATTTTTATTCTTTAATGCATGTACAGCACTTTGATAAACAATTGCTGTTTTTTAAAAAGTGCTTTATAAATAAACTTTGACTTTGACACACACACACAGGTTTGTTTTTGTGAAAGTGGGGACTCTCCATAGGTGTAATGGTTTTTATACTGTACAGACCGTATATTCTATTGCCCTACACCAACCCTACCCCTAAACCTACCCCTCACAGGAGACTTTCTGCATTTTGAAAAATGGGGACATGGGGTAATGTCCTCATAAGTCACCTTCTCCTTGTAATACCTGTCATACCCACGTCATACAAATTTGTGTCCTCATATGTCACAAAAACGTGCGCACACACACACACACTCACTCTCTCTCTCTCTCACACACACACACACTCTCTCTCACACACACACACTCTCACACACACACACACACACACACACACACACACACACTCTCTCTCACACACACACACACACACACACACACACACACACACTCTCTCTCACACACACACACACACACACACACACACACACACACTCTCTCTCACACACACACACACACACACACACACACACACACACTCTCTCTCACACACACACACACACACACACACACACACACACACTCTCTCACTCACACACACACACACACACTCTCACTCACTCACACACACACACTCTTAGATCTTCAACTCCGTGACAAACACAGAAACAGCGAGACAGCAGGGAGGCGTTGCAGGCCAGACTCAAACCCTCACTGCAGCTCAAGAAGCGTCTGCATCTCACTGCACGATCAGCGCTGGACTCCAGAGATCTGCAGCACAAACGCTAACAAGTGTGTTCATTCACTGTGTTCTGCTCAGAGACTCAGATGTTCACATGTAAGGGCAGGAGGTCAAAGGTCACTGATATACAGCCATTCACTCATCATCAGGCTGTCAAACGAGGATTAATTTAGCCAAAATCATCAATCTGTCATCATTTACTTGTGTCTCTCAAACATGTTGTATGACTTTGTTTCTCCGGGAACCAAACCACATCAGACTGCCATCATACACAAACACAGACACATTTATCAGAATACCTTCTTTTGTGCTCAACAGAGCAAAGACATGAGGGCGAGTAAATGATGACAGAATGATCAGGTTCATCTGTATTTTCTTCAAAGATCAGCCCTGATAATAAACTCACATTAAACTCAAGGGTTAGCAGAAGACTTTCTTTGTTTTCTTTGGCTCTTAATTTCCTGAAGAGATTAATTTGATCCTCATCTATCCTGTTGTTTATCGTCTGTGGCTTGTTTTGTTTATTGATGTTGTTATATTTTTATTCCTCTACAGCTCTCTGTCGTCTGCTTTATAACTAAACTGAGTTTAGTATCTCTAGCAGCAGATGAGCTGACCAGACTCTGATTAAACGTCAGCACAGATCCGATTATTAATAAAGGCATTCTGACGGAGGAGCGACAAACCAAAACCAGCGTCTGGAGTTCAGATGAAGGACAGAAGAAGAACATCCATCACTGATCAATACAGGCCACCGATGGGATTCAGATGCACAATCATCAATGTTTATTCACATATTACCTGATCACTAAGTGATCGATCATCAGCGGCTGAAAATTATTCAGACATCTTCAACATTTCTCACATTATATCACAGTTTATTGGTTATAGTTTAGAAGATGGTACTAAAATATGAGAAGAGCTCAGAGCTAAACTGAGTCAGAACAAACTCATCTTGATAATCTCAGATAACTTTGATAGAAAGGTATGTAATGAATTCGGTTGAATAGCTGTCAGCTGTTACATTTAAGAACACGATTAGATAAAACCCATTTAGCTCAACTAATTACCAAGCAGTGCTTCATTCTGTTCAGTCTGTGGTGTAGAAAGATCACATTAGCAATTAAAGAAAAACACTTCAGAAACACATGCTCAGCTCAAAGTGTCTGAATTATTATTGCTCCCGAAGTTTACTGTTAGTCCACTGTATGAAGAGTTTGTCAGAGTTTACTTTATTTTGCTCTCATCGCTTACATGAATGAGCTACAGTGTCCTGCACCCACTAGTAACAAAATATCAACAATTATATCTGCTGTCTGAATGATTTTTGGTTTGACTGCATGTTATTCTCCAGCTGCCATCATCTTCACAGGCGAGAGGATCAGGAGACGGCGGATTAGCAGCAGATCCGCATTTGACCAAACAAGGGCAGAACGAGCCCCAAACCGCCGCTAATCAGCCGTTTCCGGCCCGGGAGCGATTTCCATCATTCCTGCTATCATCTCTGACCAAATATGTGCCTAACAGGAGCGGCAAATTAGGGATTCTGTCCTCCGAAGTCCGGCGGATAAGGCAAGAGAGGACAAAGAGGGAATATTTTCCAGAGCCACAGAAACAGAGCACTGCCTTTTACAGAAAGAGCGAGGATTGTGGGTAAATAGCTGCGCTTATATGGCACACTTCATACGGATGATACGAGAGCGTCTGATGAGCCGCGGACACACACACGCTCGTCTCCATGGCAACGCTCTTCCCGGGATCACCGCCGTTAATGATCCGGTCGGACAGAGCCGGATTCACCGGAGGACTCGTCTTCCCAGAAGAGCATCCCCATCAAAACACACACAATCTCCAAAGAGCAGCAATTAAGCTTCATTTGGACGCGGCGGGTAAACATGAACTCTGTGCCGTTTACAGACTTTCTGCAGAGCTTCACATCACATCCAGCCTTCATAAGACCTGCACAAATCAAATAATACCACATGCTGCTAGAGAACAAACCTGCAATCTCAAAACGAATCAATTCTTTTATTATTTAAGCAGGCTGAGGCTCAGGACATCTGCACTGATTCTCATTTATCTATTCACCTGAAGTACAGATCTGTCCATCTTGCTGATATGATAACGTGCTCAAAGAAAGCCAATAAAAGATTATTGTGCCGATATTAATAAAATCCACATACTGAATATGTATAAGTAACGCCCTTAGTCTTTCTTTCCTGTGACGGGCAGTTCAGAGAGAAAATAAAAGAGTTTGCATTGATTTAAATGCCAGATACTGTTTACGGTGTCGCCAAAATACCAATAATAGCCAGAAAAATGCAGAATGAGTGTCTTTTAATCATAAACAAGCCTGAAATACAGCAGGACTCTGAAATGTCTGTGCTCATTCGGACAGATGAGATCTGTATCACAGTGACTCCAAATTTAAGACTTCATAAATAACTGAGACCTCTGTTATACCATTTAAGACTCACTATGGCCTTAATATTGATTAAACCAAATCTAAGACTAGAAGGACCTGCAGAAACCCTGCATTTACCCATAAAACTAAACTATGATAGTATGAGAAACACATGATGATGATGACGATGCAGCACAGTCACATGACTCACGGCGTCATATCGGTTATTTCATACTTTCAGTCCAATTTTGTTAGAAAACGTTCGCCGGTCTGAGAAAGAGAATCACTGCCGGGTCACTGATCGCACTGGAAATGGAAGGTTGAGCGCATTGCATTGTGGGATACAGTGTTCGACTCGTGCTCTGTTGTAGACGGTTCATGCTACTCTATGCACACTGTAGAGAGTATACACACTATATACTGTAGTATGTTCATGTTCACGATTCAGACGCACCATAAAGCGCTCTTTGACCGTACACTCATTTAAAATCTCATATTAAAAAGAGACCGTTCTTCATTCTGTCTTTATTTACTCTCCATCGTGTCGTTCAAACCTGTATGACTTATTTCAGTGAAACAAAAAGGAAAATATTTTTGATTTGTTAATTATATATATATATATTTTTTTTTTTGTTGATATATTGTGTTTTTTATGTCCAAATAATGAAAGTCAATGGGGTCTGATGTTGTCTGGGTCGTTGTGTTCCAGAGAAGGAAGACACTGCTACAGGTCTGCAGGACACCAGAGAGAGTAAGTGATGGTGATTTTAGAGTGAACTGTCGCTTTAATGAACAGAAGCGAGCAGCACTGCCGTCTGATTGGCTGTTTGAGGATGCTACAGATCCTGACAGAAGACAGACACGCTAATAAAGCAGATGATCAGACGCCGCTCATTACTGTCTGGTTTAATTGAGTTAAAGCAGTCTTACCAGGCCGAGGCTGAAGGTGAAGAGCAGGCGAACGATGGGCTGAGGACAGCGCTCACTTTCTGCAAAACAAGAAGACACAAGCAAACGCTGTGAGGAACGAGTGACAGCCGCTGTTAAAACGAGAGAGAGAGAGAGAGAGAGCAACAGGTGTGCTGCCCTGTGGTCACATGACCAAACACCTGCGATCGCATGATTCATTCAGAGCTGTGGAGTCACATGTGTTTCTATAGCGCTTTATACAATACAGATTGATTCAAAGCAGGAAAATAACAATCAACGATGCATACTTCAGCAAACATGAAGCATCAGATGGTCCCTGCATCCCTGTGTACATTTACATTCAGACCTAAAACTTCCTCTCCAGTCCATCCAGAACAACATCCCAGCCACAAGCTCATTAGCATAGATGATACACCCACACAGAGTGGACTAAACCAATCATAACAGAGCTCATTAACATTTATGACCCACCCACACAGTGTGAACTACACCAATCATAACTAGGGGATGTAACGATTAATCGCGAGCCGGTTGAAAATGTATTAATATGAAATATGTGACGATATGTAAATGAATATGTGACGATTCAAATCGGTTGAGATGCTAAACAACTTTTTTTAAAATTCAATTAGGGGTAGGAGTTTATATGAATTAGAGTGCATCTGCGTCTCGTTCAGCTCGTCTGCGGTTTCGGTTTCATGCAGATATGTTTTATGCATAGTTTCACAAAACTGAACTCAAACCATTCTGTTTTTGCTTCAGATTTCGAAATGATACAATCTAATATAGATTAAAAACTGCTGGTGTTGCATGTATGCTGCAGCTTTGTTTGGATCGTGATTAAAATGCAGCGGTTGCCTCTAATGTTAAATGTTAAGAGCACAGACAAAGCCTTAGTTTCTTTATATGAAGAGATTTATTTTATTTGTGTTACTTATTTATTTGATTTGGGGCTTGTTTTAAAATATCAATATAGTTTTGTTATTTACATTTACATTATATTTAAATGTAGTTATTTAGCAGACGCTTTTATCCAAAGTGACTAACAAATGAGGACAACAGAAGCGATCAAAAGAGCAATGATATGCAAGTGCTTTATTAGTATATTATTATAGTGTCATATTTCAATTTCACTAAGAAATGTGCAGCATTTTGTTCAAGCAATAATAAAAGGACACATTTAATTTATAATTTGTCTTAAATCTCATTTTGTTAAAAAAATTAATAAATCGTGAATCGAATCGAATCGTGAGTTGAGTGAATCGTTACATCCCTAATCATAACAGAGCTCATTAACATTTATGACCCGCCCACAGTGTGAACTACACCAATCATAACACAGCTCATTAACATAAAACAGTCAGAGAGAGAGAAAAGGAAACTAAATTACAGCTAAAATTGTGAACTCTCAATCTACAAATCTTATAAAAATTGTAATGAACGACATGGTTAAAGTGTGTGATTTACAGTAAGTGTTCTGAAGCAGAAGCCAATCTCCTCTGGATTATCAATCTGTCGAAGATTAAAATAACGCGTTATAAAACACAAATGATCCGGTTAAATCTCCTGAGAAAGCCCTCTGTTCTGTTCGTTCAGTCTGGCAAATCCACGTAATGAGTGTCGTGTATTTTTAGACTTTAAGCTGCGTTATTTCAGGTAACATCAGACGAGGCGACAAATATTCTCTTGATTAAAGCAGCCGATAATCCCGCGGCGGCGGCGGGAGAACGTCAATCCGTTCACAGCCACAGCGGAAACACAAACACCTGCGACACCTGCGAGCGACGGCACACTCAGAGAAACACCGCCGCGTCTTTCACTCATTCCACATCACTATTGATCAGCGCCTCAATAATCAATGAAAATCTCCTGCAGCTGAGAGCTTCACTGAGCTCCTTCATCAGGATCAGAGTCATCACTGCCGCTCATCTGAACCAATCCAACGGATGGCCGCAGAGCATCATGGGAAACGGCGCTCCTGACAGCGTGCCAGATGCAGTCGGTCATCAGCCATTCCAGATAACCAGATAACGCGTATAGTTCTCTGGTCTGATTATAGTTAACGTGCATAATTAACTGACAAACTGATCTGAGGTCAAAGGTCGTGCGTTCAATCAATCTCTACAGTATTTCAGCACCAACCCATTTTGTGAAATCTAGTTAAATCAGATGAAACGGCTGACGACAAAAGAAAATCTCACATGAAACAAGATTATTGTGTCGAGTTGCCAGCTGATTTGTCTGATTGTTTGTATCATCGTCCAGCTCTAATCTGCTGCATGCACCTATAAGATATTAAGATACTATAAACATTAAGATCAGGGTTTTCTGGGGTCATCCATTCATCTAAGACTGTAGAGCAGCTTCGAAACAATCTGTATTGTATAAAGCACTGTAGAAATAAAGGCGACTTGACCCTTCAGATGTGGTCACCTGATGCGGTCACGTGACCCAGGTGACCACATACTAGTGATATAACAAGGGATCGGCACGCTTCGTCACCGCATCCTCGGCTAACGCGGGTAATAATAGACGCGAACGCTGCAGCGTTCAGAAGTCACGTTCTGAGTTATAGCACAAAGGTCGACAGTTTAATTGGAAGTGCAAATTGCGTCCGCACGCTGGCTCCCAGCAGTGCCGTGACTGAACGTGTTTCACAGGGGCCTGCAATTAGAAAGAGCAGTAATAGCTGTTCCGCGCTATTTTTAGCCGAAGCTCGTCGTCCAGGAACCCTGATGCTTCAGCTGGCTGTTCTACAGAGACGCTCGCAGGAACACGGCATGCTGGGAGATCTCGGGCCGGCGGGGGGTGCAGTAATCGCTTCAGGACCCGCAAATTCACTCAGTCCAGTCATTAATAGTGAAAGTGTTGAGCTGTCTCACTGAAACACACTCAACATACAGACAAAACACAATTCCAATTCACAAGCTCTCAATTCAGCTCAATATCCACTCATCTGGAAATATTTAAGGAAATCTCACACATCTCAGCTAAAGCGGTATACTATACAGGAAACCCTGTCAGCTCATACATCACTATTAAAGTCTGAAATTAACAAACAACTATTACATTTCACTGCTGTTTATTTTAACAATCAACACTCAAATTAAATGTACAGACATTTCCATTCCAAATAAGGCAAATAAAGTTATTATATTAACTTTTTAAACACATAATTGTTTCTACTCCAAATTTGTTATTGGTGGCTTTAATAAAAATGTGTTTTCATGACAGATTTATTGAAACACATTAAATAATGAATATGTAATATAGTGCAAATATTGATAACCATTTAATCATCGTAAATGTTACGACATTATTGATCTCAAGCTGGTTTACTGACGTCTTTCCGCCGTTGAATCACTGATTGATGGATTACAACATTCATGATTGGTTTCAGTGAGTTGTTCTGATTCTTCTGATGTTCATTCAGCTTTATTTGCTGCTGTAACTAGTAGTAAAGAGGAAGAGATGATCAGCGATCTGTCAGCACACATTACAGAGCCACAAAACCAGTGAATTTAGTGATGAAACTGACAGAATTTCAACGCTGAGACTAACAAAGCACAAAGATTATTGTGATTATTGGACGACAGATGCACATAGGACTGAACAATAATTCAATATATACTGCGATATAATTTTTTTATGGTGATATGATTTTTAAACACATTTCCGATATTTTGATATACATTATAGAGGTCGACCGATTAATCGGGCCGATTTTTGGCATTTTTTAAATTAATTGGCATCAGCCGATTGTGCTGCAAATTAGGCTGATTTATAGGCAGGCGCATCTGCGGGCAGCTAAGCGCTGTTGAGGAATCTCTCTCTGGCTGCGTGAGACGGAGTAGCTCACCTCATTCACACACAGCTTCAGCTGATGGCCAGGCAAAACAGACCGTTTCAAAAGCGGAATTACGTTGTAGATTTAGATTGTAGAAATAGATTTCCCAAAAGGCTTATACTTCCTTAAATAAACTGAGCACTGCACGTTTCAACATTAAAATGCAGCGCTGGTGTTTTTATATGAATGTATCTTTGAAAAGAACCGACCGTCTTCAGAAAACCTTCGATGTCATTTTCATTTTGTCTTTCCTGTAATGCCGGATTAGATTAAAGCCGTTACCAGGGAAACCGCTATATCTCCCGCTCCAGCAGCGCCTCCTGCTGGCAGAGAATCAATTTGCATTTGCAAAACAAAAAGCATGCTTCAGAACTGTTTTGAGATATATACACTGCAGTAAACATTTACTCAAACTCTCTTTTATGAGATGAAGGGGAAAAAAGAAAAGCACCACACAGGTCTGTTTACATGGAAAAACACTTCTGTCTGAACTGGTTTCACACAGCTGTTCAGATGGAGCTTCGAGCCTGATCCAGAACCGGCTTCAGCGGAATCAGCGATGCAAATATCTGCCTATGACCGATAACAGACATGGTGGCCGATATTAGGAACATTTGAGTAAAATTAGACATTTGTCATGGCGGGTAACAGTTTAGTGCTTCTGAAAGCTGCTGCAGACAAAGACAGGACTGACAGCACAAGAACGAAGCTTCATGTCACAGAACAGTCGAACACAGACTATGAGCAAACCCTGCGCTTCTCAAACATGATAAAGCATAAACCTCCATAAGAAGACCTGCAGTAAACATTTACTCAAACTCTCTTTTATGAGATGAAGGGGAAAAAAGAAAATCGGCCAAACATATCAGCCTCTCTGATTTCTAAATATCGGCATCGGCCAGAGAAAAACCCATATCGACGATCGACCTCTAATACATTACCAGTGTTTCCAATTCAATGGCCTTTTCATTGTATCTGATAAAGTAGCGCTTCTGAGCGGAGCTCTGCTTTATGTACAGCCGTTACCAGGGAAACCACTGTTTCTGCCGCTCCAAAAGCGCCTCCTGCTGGCAGAGAATGAATCTGCACTTTCAATCAGCCCGTCTCCAGCAACATGTTTTTGTTGTTGCTCACTCTTTTTTTCTGTGTTCTGCAGCAACTCTGAGCACCTCTCATATTCTTGATCCTGGCTGAAGCACTTTGTTCAAATGTTTCCATTTACACATGGCCACATACTGTAATGTACTGTACATTTGTGTCTTCGCAAAATGGAATAAATCCGGTCTTCAATTCCCGCAGTATATGCAAATTTAACGAAGTTCACGTCAACGAAAGCAACAGATGCGTGCTGCATTTTATTCATCATCGGCTAATTTCTAGTTCAAAGACCGCAACAGGAGAGAGAGCAGCATCAGCACTGAAAGATAAGTTAGTCTCACTACTTTTAATAAATGATTGTGTGTTGAGCGACTTACTTTCAGTTTCATTTGCGTTAGTTTGCGCGTCGGCTTGCTGAAGAGATACTCAGCTACTCATCGTGTTGCATTAGCGCGGTCACATCGGACTATAATGTCATATAGCCTATAACACGCTCTCACACGTTTAGCATTTTAACATTTGCGGAGGAGAAAAGTTTCAACAATCAGATGCATTTACACTTGCGTCCCAGACCACCTCCTGAAGTGGTTTGAGCGATCGGCTTTAAATCCGCCTCGAAAGCGTTTCGGAGGGCATTTACACCTGCTCTTTCATGATCGGATAGCTATCCAATCAGAGCAAACGCATGAAGTGACCAGGCTCTTAGATAAACTGATGCCATCTGTATCAAACTCCCAGAGCAACGGCACACTGGGTTTAATAACACAGAACGAGCCGCTGTGATTGGTTCACAGTAACACAGCGCAGTTTCTACAGTTTAAGGTGGTCAGGATTCAACCATGACTACTGCTAGTCCTCTAAGATAACCATGACCACCTTCAGCTTTGACCTAAACCAGCCTGATCCAGCTAACGAGGAACCATCTGCTGATCGAAGATACTGAAACAACGCGGCCAACTCAGTGAAGCTAATGCGAGTGCGAATCACGCTGAAGCACCGAGCACAAACTCACCGGTTGTGCAGAAAGTGATTTAAGACAAGACGGTTGTGAAGACAAGCATCTTAAAACACCGAACCACGGTCAGTCGACCCAAAGAAAACTGGCAGCCGCCGCATGAAAGCCAACGTGAACAATAACAGCCAGAAGCCTGTGACTCATTGTGTTTGCATCTGCCTAATTAAAAAATAATAGTGCATCTTCCCTACAGCACACAGACGGACGCATGAGCGCAAGAACACAACAGCAGAGCACCACACAGGTCTGTTTACATGGAAAAACACTTCTGTCTGAACTGGTTTCACACAGCTGTTCAGATGGAGCTTCGAGCCTGATCCAGAACCGGCTTCAGCGGAATCAGCGATGCAAATATCTGCCTATGACCGATAACAGACATGGTGGCCGATATTAGGAACATTTGAGTAAAATTAGACATTTGTCATGGCGGGTAACAGTTTAGTGCTTCTGAAAGCTGCTGCAGACAAAGACCGGACTGACAGCACAAGAACGAAGCTTCATGTCACAGAACAGTCGAACACAGACTATGAGCAAACCCTGCGCTTCTCAAACATGATAAAGCATAAACCTCCATAAGAAGACATGATGAACAAGTCAACTCGTGCACAATCTGTCATTTCAGGAAACACATCACATTTGAAGAAAGAACTAATAGCGGCTCAATGAACCGTTCAAATCACAGAATAACAACACAACATGATGCATGAGTTCAGAGCATTGAATAAAACACGTACCGAATCAGGTCCGTCTCACAAGAACCTAAACACAGCTGAGACCCGCAGCGCCTGCTTGACTCCAGACTCCAGATCTACAGATCCACCGCCATCAAGAGCATCCCACAGCATTGAGCTGGATTGAGCTCCACACCAGAATACTGTTTCTGACTGAATAAACATCCTTCTACCTGCGCGCTCACGTGAACAGGTGTGACGCACGGATCCCTCGTGACAAAACACATCTGAACCTGACAGCTTTAGCTGAAGAAAACACATGCGGCATCAGAATCTGTCCGGATACACGAAGAGAAAAGTGCTTCACAGATCTCGAGTGAACGATTGCTCTGTCAGGCTGGATCTTGATTCCAGTGCCAGTAATTCTGCTTTTACTCTTTATTTTGACATTGTTATTAATATTGCATATCAAGGCATTAAATGTCAAACTGTGACTGTAAATCTGAAATAAGGTACACGAGTTATGGTGTAATTACATAAAGAAATTAGTGCTTCTTTTCAGATGCTGCATTTTGAATGTAGGTATATTTTGAAAACAACACTAATGTATCTTTTTTTAAGGACATTTAAGAAGAAAACATGATGGCCATCTAAACACAACCATCAAAAACACACACATATGTTGACTAAATATATATATATATAGAGAGAGAGAGAGAGGATCAGACATTAATCAGGGATCACAATGTCCCAGATATTAAATGCGAAAGGGAGAAACATCCCTGATAACAAAAGTTTATTTCTGATAGAGGCACAGTTCATCCTGAATTACCTAACCCACACACACACACACATTCTCACACACACACACACACATTCTCACACACACACACACACACACACACACACACACACACACACACACACACACA